ATGAAGGTTGATGGAGACTAACGCGAACTTATACAGACAAAGGTTTGGAGGAATGAAGGTTGATGGAGACTAACGCGAACTTATACAGACAAAGGTTTGGAGGAATGAAGGTTGATGGAGACTAACGCGAACTTATACAGACAAAAGTTTGGAGGGATGAAGGTTGATGGAGACTAACGCGAACTTATACAGACAAAGGTTTGGAGGGATGAAGGTTGATGGAGACTAACGGCAAGTGTTATTGTCGCCATCATGATCTCATTGATAATATTCCACATTGTTCTGTGTTGTGAAAGTCGATATTTTTGATAATGCTTGTTAGTGTTTCTTTATGTTTACTTGTCACTGCCCCGGTCATCGCTTTGAGGCCTTAGCGTTACTTTGATTTGAACTATACTGAAATGGCATGTTCTTTCGAGCAGAAAACGCGAACCCTTTCGGAACACCCGGCCTTTTTCTCCTTGATATTTCTCAATAGTCGGTCTGTATTTTTTCCTTTGTTTGTGTTTTTTTTAACTAGTTTTATTGATTTTAACTAACGGTTTTGATGGCACCTGGGTATTTGATTATGTTTTTTAGATAGTACACTTACATTTTCATTCATAGCCTTACATGCGTGCTTCTGGGGTTCTGTAAAGTATTGCCAGTCCTGTTCTGACTTCTGCACGTCCATAGCGGCAGCGGGGACTGAGATCAACGGGTTCTCTTCCTCCCGGCCCCCTGCCTCCAGAAGAAGCACGTTACTGCCTCTGTCCTCTGACAGTCGAGTAGCTATCACAGATCCCGCGGACCCAGCGCCAACTTAAACAGAAAGGCGGGGATAAGGAAGGACATTGTTTAAACATGAATCAGTAAGATAACAACGTTCCCTTTTGTATGTATCAAATGATCGGTGTAAGGATGTCCCTGAGGACACAGTAAAACACTTCCTATTCAAAGGTTGGAATAGTTCATTATGAAACTGCAGGGGTGAATGAGTTAAGGGAGTTAATGTCCCAATTAAATGTGTGCCATTCACCTCTTTACATTATATACAAGTGAGTGAAAATCTTCTTCTTGAAGATTTCTTTTTGAAATGCATACTCATCTCCTTCAATTTCTCAGCTTAACATGAACAGTGTCAGAGTGTGTACCAATAATGGCTGATTATTTTTGCCATCGACACCCCTCCCTACACCCTTTTTTTAGCCCTGAACTAACGGTATTGTTTCAATATTACACTGCGAAATAATGACATATTATTTGACATTAAATTTTCGCATCGGAAAGAGGAAAATTTAAATAAAGTCGAGCAAAATTCGAAATTACTAGGCGAGCATTATCAACCTACAACTGTCGTCGTTTTTTCGTCGTTTGTGCCGGGTCAAGTTGGCTGTCAGAAAATGTCGGAGACATTTCGAAATAAGATTATGATACTTCAGGCAGTCAGGAGACGGCGAAATGTTTCGATATCTTCTGACAACTGACTTTATCGACTCGGCACACTGGGGCTTCAGTACCATTGATTTGTCCGTTCGAACGAAATGCCCAAATTGTACAATAAAATGCTCACTATTTTTGACTCTCTATCTACAAACAAAATTGTCAGATAAGTGCTTCATTCTTCGTATTTGATTTTTTTTTTCTTCATTGTAGGATGACTTTTCATTACATTTTGACCAAAACCTGCTGTAATAATAACATATCCCCCCTCTCCTCATTCTTTTTGAAATATTGATTGAGTGGTTCTAAGAGGTAGCATTTGATCATAATGAACGATAAGGTAGTCGTTCATTTTGGTTTTAACTTTGTTTTATTCAAATGTTTTGAAAATACATTGAAATGCAAATTGTACAGTACATTATATGGAATGGAACGGGAAACAAGTGTCACGACACTTATGTAAATTTGTCGTTCATTTTTACTGTAATACATTGAAATATTACCCTTCGTTTGTCAATTTCTTTATTGTAATCGTTTCACAATTCAACAATTTCATTTTTGTCTGATTTTACTTTTCGTTCATAAGTTATTTTTGAAATACATATCCTACTTGACAAAGCTTTTTTGTATAACGCAAACGATCTTTCGAACAGTAGACATGTTTAACGCTAATTTCACTTACCTACGATGTAGTCGTATGTATTGTTGAGGGTGACCGTGGATAAATCTGACTTCCGAGACGATTCTCTGTACAAATAGGCCGCTGTTGCGAAAATCGCTACAACAACCGCTATGGATATTCGAGACATCACGGCGCTAGTGGTTCGTTCCGACTTTTCCCCCCAATTCTGTGCAGCTGCGCTCCTGTTCCTCTTTGTAGTTACTAACAACATATAAAACAGATCTTGCTTTAATTCCCCGTTGGGTCACATAGAAATTTCTCTATAGCCAAAATAAAGGCAGCATAAAAGAATCGTTCATTTTGGATTCAACAAAGTCATCAAAACCTTTTCGAGATTCTTTTTCTCTCTGGAGGATTCCGCTGGGTTTTGCACGTGTCGTGATAGAGGGCATATGTACTTCCGGTAAACAGCGATAAACTAACATCAGTTAAAATATTAAGCAGAAACAACGTTTTCCGATTTGTCAGTAGATATCCCTTTTATAAATGTTGCGACATTTCAGCCGTTTTCCACCAAACATTACCAATCTTGTACTGCAATGAGGTTGGCTTACTCCTGATTTAACTGCATACCGGAAGTATATGCCCCCATTAATACACCACGTGATCACCACATCACATGAAAATTTGTTCCGGAAACTTGTATCTCAAACATGACGTATACATTCCATGTTTATGTTTAGGAGATTGTTTTTCAGTATTGTTTATATTTGTAGACGAATATCTGTAGTTTTTTTTGTCGTAGTTTATCAATTTATGGATAAAAAAGCAGTGGATTTACATGTATCTTTATTGGAATCTTTATACTTTTTGTTTTCATAATTCCTACAGCTACCAAAATTGCAAGTGTGACGTCACGTCAATCCAATGGGACGTCACGTCCGGAAAGTTCTGATTATTTTTTTGTGATTTTACATGGATTAACCAACTTAATCAAATAAAGTCTTTTAAATAATGCGCCAATATATGATATTATGAATAATTATAGCAAATATAAACAGCTTACCCAGGCATTACTATTTTTAGGATATTTGTTGAAATATTATGAAATTTCAAATTTACTTTCAAATTTTCAAGAATTAGATTTTCTGCCATGCATATCTACTTGGCGTTATAAGACAACTTTAATGTGTTTCGTGAGTAGATTGTATTATATTTAGATTTCTACTGAAAGTTCCTCTATTATCAGGGCTATGGACGCAAGTGGATCAGTGCCGTTTTAAAGTTTCTCCTCCGGCCTCGATTAACGTGAGATAACCGTTAGAAGCAAAGCAAACATTTTGGTGACGTTAGGCTGTTCCAGGAATCTCGTTGTACTGACGAAATATACATCTTAATATCGACAATATAAGGGTATATCTGTGTTAAGGTCAATAATAACTAACAATTTAGAATATAAATATAAGGGTAGGACACACTTTTTTCAATGTTCATGCCGGCGGGCTTCATGGTAAATAAATACATATGTATATAACCGGTTTTCGTTAATATCAGCATCAGTTTGAAATAAAAAGCAAAAACAAAATGCCGTCCAATCCTTATGAGAATGCTGTGATCAATGGATTTAAATTCAAAATGTCATGAAGAAAGGTTAAATTATATAGCATTGAAGCTACTCGATGGGCCTGCTCGAGCGGTATATTCCCCCACCGAGTAAAGAGTTATGCTTGGGTCTTCCTTGTCTGACACGTAGTTGATACAAAATACTTATTAGTTTGTAGAAAATAGACGACAAATGATAAAGGCAAACTAAGGATATGTGTGTTTGCAGTTCAGAATTCTAAAACTGACTTCCAAACAAATCGAATGAAAACAATAATAATAATAATAATTCGAGGTTCTTATATACCGCGTTATCACAAACTAGTTCGTCTCAAAGCGGTGGACAAATTATTATCCGTGGTTATAGGGCCTTTGCATCCAGCCAATATCTTTCTCAACTCCCTGGGGAGCATACATCCGGTGCTGCCATTTCGGCACTCACAGCTAGCATTTTACAATTCTACCACTGCCCAACCACGTACTCATTTGCAGCTGAGTAGACTGGAACAAACGGAGTAAAGTATCTTGCTCTAAGATTCAACACAGTGCCGTGCCGTGACTCGAACCCGCACGAGTTCACGAGCCCGGCGTCCTACCACTGGACAACCGTGCCTCCGAAAGCATACACATTTTACAAACATAACAACACAAATCACTGTTAGCTCTAAGCCTATTGTCAGTTAACCGCGGGACCGAATCCCGCGGATATTTTAAGGAACTTAGAAAGGTGTTCATTCTCGTGAAGCAGACGCTACAAGGACAGTCTAGAGAATGTGACGTCCCTAGCAAGTTAATTCTTAAATAAACATTCACGGTCTGTCGCGTCACCGTGTTGCATAACAAAAGTGTCGGCCTTTCGCGATCGGGTGCCAGGTGAGCGAGGATCAAACAGGCGTTTTTTGGTATCTGATGGCTATGCTTTTGTTTGTGTAGTTGTTTATATATTTTACGGATTCACAAAAACAAAACAAAAACGAATTATTAAAAAAAAATGTTATAGAAACCTAATGATTACTCTTTTTCAGATATCAAATTTAAATACATTTTGTAAAATGTCGCTTTAATATTTGTCAGATTTGAGGAAATTGAAAATATTTGTGTACTGTAAATGGTTATTTTGATTTTGCAGTATGATTGCAATCGGCTTGCTGTCGTCCCTGCGTCGCCCGCAGTTTTATATTTATGGTTCCTTGATTTTATATATGTTATCTTGTATATATTTGTGTATTCAATGAAGTTGTGTGTTAAAATATCGCTTGCCTAAGGAAATACCTCTTTTTCATGTATGTGATTTGCAGGCTGTCTGTATGACTTGTATATGTCTGTAAAATTGGAGATGGCAAATTAGAAAAAAAATCTAAATAGGATTTGTATATGTATTTATATATTTCCGATACGCATAGGAACTAATATAAACTGAGCAAACGTCTTGATAGATTATCTCCAAAAAGTAATAAACGTATTTTATTCTTCAAGTAATATAATACTAGAGTGGTAATTGTGTGTTGTACATTGTTTTGCACAGTATACGATATTCCAATTGAAAATTTAGATTTAAAATAAAAATATCGCAAGTTCTTATTTAACAACACAAAAGGCTAAATAACTTTAGCAAGAACCTCTACGTTTGTACTTCAGGCGATATACTACATTGATTTGTAAATATCTCCTTTATAAAATAGTTTTAAATATAATAAACCTTTTTACAAAAGCAAACATGTTTTGAAGGGCACGCAGAATTGTATTCACGGCTCCTGTATATAGGGCTTTAATTCCACACTTTAAATTGTGTAGAGGACATTTTTTTTAAAACTATTTTTGTTGCTTTGTACTAAACAGAATGAACCCCGTCAAAGGTTCTTGACTGATTTAATCAGGCTATCACTATAAAGTTATACATGTATCTGTATTACCAGCAGAGTTTGTTATGGACGACGAGAAGGATTATGTATTGACATGAATAAAATATGGTTTAAACTAATTCAACACACTTGCCATGTGGGTAATAAAATGTTTACAAACTTTTTGTGTGCAGATAATTAAACACACCAGTGAATTTCACGCGTTATCGGATGAACAAGTTCGGGATATAGTCTATGGCTCTAAGTTTTGTTCAATAAATATGCCTATGGAATTTTAATTTCAGTCACAGACAGCAACTTCAAGTTCACGCGTACAATTTAAAACCATAGTCATCTCTGTAAGTGCCCTATGTATATGGCCTCATTGCTAATATGATTTATATGCCTGTATAATCATATATCTTGTGAGCAGTAGTGCAAAAATCGACTAGCGAACCAGGTCAGTAAGCACATGTTGTAACTATCGCGTAAAAAGTTAACCTTGACATTCAAGGGACATTATAATTAGCAGATGAACGTTAACGGGGTTTGACCTTGAAGGATATCGGTTTTCCGTGGGAACACGTCTGTCATGTGTTGTCGGGAGTCTCTCAGCACAAGTACCCTACGTGACATAATAAACGATATTTGTTGGTTTACTGCCTGACAGTTTTACATACACATATGCATTAGAATAGTCTTCCTCTCCATGCGTGTCGTAGCTTACCGGAACCTACATTAATGTAGAAAAATCCCTCTACATATACATATATGTGTACAACAGCACGGACTAAATATAAGATAGTTCCGTGATAACAGTCTTTATAAGTACTACCTAAGAACACCCAGTGTACACTACACACATGCATCTTGCACACTTGGGAGGCCGTCCTTAATGACCATAGCTGTTGATAGGATGTTTAACACCAAACCAAACTACACTAAACCAAACCAAACCAAACACCCAGTGCGTATTTTGAACTTTCAGTGTAAGCGGTTTTTATCAAACAACTACTTACCCGTGGTTCGCCCTTCGATGCCCTGTATAATCTTGGCCACTACGTGTGCTACCGGGCGCTATTTACACCACCCAATGTACGGTACGTTTCCACTTCGATGGGTTTTAACTTTTGTACGTTACCGAACCCGGTTATAGCGCGTGTGCGTTCTATTAATGACGTGTTCAACAATGTTTGATTGATAGCGAAGCCGATTGTGTGTGAATCTTTGGACTTTGTTTGTATTGTGTGTATTTATATCTACGTTGTAAGAGACATGTATTTGCCCGTGTGTTATAACTGTGTAAACATTGTGTGTGTCATTAAGGCCTATATATATACTGTATGTACGTGTGTGTTTACCTGTATTTACACTCATGTCAGCTTACCTGGACACATGTGTAAAATGATATTGGTTTCACTTCACACTTTTACTGCTAACCACTGCTACCAATTTTTTTTTATTTTTTTATAAAAAGTATACTGCTTGCTTTAATTTTTATTCGAATTGACATGTACATATTTCATACGCAATATTTAATTCTAGAAATTTTCCAAGATATATTAAAAGTCGTTAAAACGTCAATACCGTCCGTTTTATCATTAAAACGGTTTTAAGGTTAACTAATTGATTAGCTCTCATTTAACATGAAGTTGTTGAAACGGATTCCTAAACTTGTCATTAAAACCTTGGAAGAAAAATATTTTATGGAATGGAAGTAAACATGCAATTTACACATTCAAGCTATTGTTATATCGCGTATATGTTTGAACATAATTGCATTGTTGTCCAACATTCCATCATCTTATCAAGAATTTAACGCAAATTGTTATTTAAAATCATATTTTCAGAATAATTTAGATTAAAAACTAACAAAATCATTAAGGATTAATCATTACCATTCGAAAAAAATTAATTTGAAATTAAAAAACAAAAACTTTTTCCAAAATATCAATAATTCCGTTTTGAAAATTGGTGTTTACAATTCGTTAAGCTTACCATGCTTTGAGTTGGTGATTAACAAAGTTGAAGTCACAATACATACCTATCTAAATAGACCTATGAATGCTTTAGTTGTACCGAAAACCCCCAGTTTGAAAGGCGTGCATAATTACAGTGTTTGGTAGTGACACCGGGGTCCTGAATTAAGTGTACGTTGTTTGCTACGAACCCGTGATTGTACATGTCAGCTGAAGTGTGAATTGTACGTTATAAACCCTTTACAATAAATGCTAGCTTAGTGCATTATTTAACCACGTATTGATGTTGATCAAATATCAACCTGCCTTTTGACATCTAGGGTTAAATTTCATGGACATTTAATTTAATAATTTGGCACTTGCTTTTGTATCTTTTGACGAAATAAGACTTCACCCAGAAAACAAACCCATTAAGGTTCTCTATCCCACTGTTCTGTGTGTTTTCCTTTACACAGTTACCTCCCCTATAACTTCCGTTTGGATATAGCTGTAGCACAGTTGGACCACTGTGTTTTTGTTGATGAAGTACCATCTGAAATCGCAGGTTCGAATCTACGTCTAGCCCCGCTGAAATGTTTTACACAGAACACCGTTGTTGGTTGTATAAGGTTTATTTCATCTGAAGTGTTTCTCATAAATGTCACGCGAGGTATGCTTTTCCTTCCAGAAATGATTTATCAAAGCTAACGTTGTGCCTGCAAAAAGCAATGCGTAGTCACAGTTTTGGCAGTGGTACGGGGCTCCTTAAGTTATTTAATCTCCAAACATGTGATACATTCACACTACAATGTAAACACGGAAGTGGAGTTTTTTGACAAGGAAAATATTAAGTTATTTATATGTTATTAATATTTCGATTGGTCGGCAATTTTATTTGCATAAAATTTATAGCCTTTATATAGGTAACACATTGGTTACAAGCTGGCAAATATATAATACAGTGGTCAGCTTTCTTTGTGTTATCAGCTATAAATCATATAGGTCCTGAGACCCTTGAGTCAGCAATTTACATACCCCAATTTGGTTACATGACTGGTCAAACTGATCAATAGATGTCATGTCAGCAGGGCCCAAGAGCCAGCAGCTGACCAATGAAATGTTTACTCCCTATGGAGGAGAAACCCCCATGGCCAACATGCTATCCCCCAAGCTAACATCTCATCACTTTAGAATTCTCTGGCGAGGCGGCAACAGGCATTTCATTTGTTTAATTCATCTAGTTATTCACTTGGAAAGATGTTTTAAAAACCAACAATGTTTTAATCAAATAGACATACTTCTATCACGCCGATAATTCACGGGATCATTACGCTTATCAATGTAGACACTTTAAAACACGAGCGAAGGCTTTGAATCATCAAAGTCATGTGGAAATATCGGCGACGAAGAAAATTGACTACTGAAAACTCGTTGCGGTAACACAAGCGTGTTCCATTGCAGGATAAGCATCCTAAATTCGGACGAGGATGAGTCACGAAGAGGAGACCAGTAATGGCACCGGATTATCTAGCATGAATTCGCCAAGCGACGAGGATCAAGTGCGTATGTGGGGAGCACGCATGAAATTGACGGAGTCATCCTTGCAAACAGTTTTGAACCACGGGTTCAAATTCTATGGAGGCGCCCCACAGTTTGAACCGGAAGACATTCCGAGACAGAAACTCTCTATCGGACAGTCAAAATTACTACACATTGCTTTGAGGAAAACATTCCCGGATACTATTCAGCTTGCGCAGACATCTGCTGCACATTCCGGCAGTACGCAGGCGTCACCTCCGGAAGTGATCGAGGACGATCAACAATAACCTGTGATAGATAGGCCTGACAAAGGGAAAGCTGACGAATGTCAGGACGACATTTATGTCCGTTCCGTGGGGAAGAGACATCCCACATCTTCAAGAGTGCACTTAAAGCAGCAAGCACCAAGAGTGATTGTTCCCAAACCTGTCAACCAAACCTTGAGAATTTCACAAGGTGTTGAGATTTGCCAATTTGTTAACAGTCGAGCAAAGGGCTGTGGCCTGTTATCTTGCAAATATGCACATATATGTTCTGTCAAGAATTGTGGTAAAAAACACCCAGCCTACTCCAATCTTGATGCAACAAAACCAAAAAACTTGTAAATGTCCCTACTACTGTCATTGACAGCTGTCAGACAGCCTGGGAAGTTGAGATAAAGGGAGATAAAGACAGAAACTTCATTTTATCAGGTTTAAAAAATGGATTTGACATCATAGATCCCGATGCTGAACCAAGTACTATAGAATCATACAACCACCTATCAGCATCAACAAAAAGTGATTTGTATGATGAAGCTACAGCACAAATAAATATGGAACTTGAAAATGGGAACTATATGCAAGTAGACAACCCCCCTCTCATTGTCAGCCCTACCGCGGTTATACCAAAGCCAGATGGCGGTGTTCGATTGATCCACGATTGTAGTAAAGCAACACGTCTCGCAGATAACGACAATGTGTCGGAACTCGACAAGCAAACATTTCAGTCAATCGATGATGCCATCAAACTTGTTACACCATTTTCCTATATAGCAAAGATTGACCTCAAGTCAGCTTATATATCTGTCCCTATAAGTAAACATAGTCAAAAAGTTACGGGACTTAGGGGGGAATTTAAAGATGGCATTAGATATTTAGTAGATAAAGAAATACCATTTGGTTCAAAATCAGCTCCTGACATTTTCCACCGCCTCTCCCAGACTGTCCGACGCATTATGCGAAAGAAAGGATTTAAAATTGTTGCATACCTGGATGATTTTTTCCTCTGTGAAAAGTCAATAAGCAGGTGTTTACAGGCGTTAAACACTTTACTTGGCTTGCTCGGAAGGCTGGGTTTTATGATAAGCTGGACTAAAGTGGTTGACCCCACTCAAAAGTTGACATTCTTAGACATAGAAATCGACTCTACTCGGCTTCCCGAAGCAAAATTGCTGGCCCTGAGAGAAGTATTTCCACAATATGTGGAACATAATAAACAAACAAACCAACTATGGGTCGGGGGTTTACACGAATGAAGATCTGTATCCGTTCTCAACCGAAAACTATCATCTCAGATCTGGAGAAAGACTTCAAGACTCAAACTTCTGGATATAAATTACATCCACCCTTAAGCTCTGTCTATGAATGAATACTAAAAAAACCGCGCCAAAACATGTAACAAAGACACCTGGACTGACCACTAACGAAAACTAGGTAACACCTATATTTAGAACAATTACCTTATATGGACGTAGCAAGGTAAGACAAGTGACATGTGACAACATACTCACGTGTACAAAAACAACACAGGTAGACGGCACAGTGATCGTACACAGCACATGTATACGCGAACAGCACAATATACGCAGCGAACAATTGATTTAATTTTAAAACATTTTATCACAGCCTTTATTAAAACATCAATATTTTCACATTGTTACATTCTCTCCTTACATAGAATATGACGTCCTCGTCATGTACAAAATTCAACTTCCCAGGTGTAATCAATCATATATCGCAAAACTTAAGGGAGTATGATACATACATTTTAGAAACTTCAAATTCCAAAATACAATGCAAAACTTATGTCAAATAATATATAATATTACAAATTCCACAAACTGTGGTACAATAATGTAATACATGAATCTCTAAGAACAATATCCGATCCGAAAACTCACACTGTTCCAAAGATACTGTTAATCAGAACTTGAGCTACATCCGGTGACACTCTTGTTAAGACACCCTGCTGTGCCAGCGTCTCCAATAATGCCATCCAGGAACTCCAAGTTGTCATATCCTGTGACGATGATACCTGCTGCCTAAAAACATAATCACCAGATCTTTGCCAAGCGGGCTGTACTCGCTGTCTGGTGCTTCGTCTAGGACTATCCGCAACCCTCTCACCTTCCGGATCCTGTTGTTCTCCTCCTCCTAAAGGACAGTCTCCTCCGGAGAGCTGATCGTCACCAGAAGAACCAACAACATCAACCTCCTCAGCAACACTGCGATCGTCATCCAGGTTGTGAGGGGGGATCACTTCCACAGGTTCATCAGAAGGTACTGGTCCCTCTGAGTTATGTTGATCAACTCCTCCGGTACGGGTGTATTGGTAAATATAGCAGTCATCGTCATCTCTGTCATTCTCGTCAGATATCTCCAAATCCTCAGGAACACTTTGTGACAAAACCGATTTCGTTCTGCATTTCGCCGGAATGAGCACTTTCTGTCTGTCTTAAGCCTTGTGAGCTAAGGATGAA